ATGTGCAGTATAGAAATTTGTGATAAGATACATAATGCGGTTATAATAAAATATTGTGTGATTATTTTCATATAATTAATATTAATATGTATTTAATTTTTTATAAAATACAAGGGAAGCGGTGCTTCCACTGCTTCTAATGACGGCACACCACTGCAATTTGCATTAATAAAATGTGTTGAACGTATGAAATACTGTTTTCATATTTTCTGTATTTTACTATGGAAAACAGGAGAATAAATCTATTCACCTAAAACTGATTTCTGAATTCACATCTTTATTATTCTAGTGTTTTTGAGTTTATACAACCCCCATAACATTAGCAATCAAAATCCTATCAAAGAAAATCAATTGGAAAATGTATTCCATTAACAAACACCATCTTCTAACCCAAAAACACTAGAATAACAAAGATATAAACTGTAGAAAAGCAGATCTGGGTGAATAAGTTGATACGGGAGACTGGGAGTTGTCTTATATGTTAAAGGAGAACGAAGTGCTATTTTGCTAACAAATAATGTTTTAAAGCAAAGCTGAATTCTAAAATGGTTAAAGTTTCTAAAGTCACATTTTCTAACATAAATTTTAATTTTAAAATTTTGAATTCTCTTGTTTTCGTAGGAATTGGCAGTGACGATTATACAGAATTGGTGGAAAACAGTTCAGAGAAAGAGAGCATATCAAATACGTAACACACTATAACTATGAACTTTTAAGAGAAGAATTCGTCATCTAAAATTTTATATAATAAAAATGCAATTTTATCATCCCTTTTTATTTTATTTCAGTTAAATCTACATTATCAATTTTACGTTTCAAAAGAATCAATAGCTAATAATTCATGGTTATGATATTTATAAACATATATTAATTTCTCTCTTAATCAATTTGTCTTATACAGTTTAGATATGTTTGACTTAAAACATTACATCTGATTGTAGGTGCTTATACAGTCGACCCCCCTATAAGATCATTGATTTTTCCGTTTTATCTGAATTACATGTTGTACAAGTCACTTAGATTTTACAAATATGTGAGCCGTTCACAGCCCGGCACACGTATTTGTAAAATCTAAGTGACTCGTACAACATGTAATTCAGATAAAACGGAAAAATCAATGATCTTATAGGGGGGTCGACTGTAATGGGTGAATTCTGAGCCAGATTTATAATAATATATATGACAAGGATTGAGACTGTTGAATTATTTATCTGAATCTGTAATTTATTATAAAAACAATTAGAAAAAAATGTAGTAGTTCCAGAGTTTGAATGCTAAATTTGAGAGAAATTTGATCCAAAGTTTCGATGGTGCTGCTATGTTTGAACTACGTGAAAAATGTGCTTACAGCATAAAATGCTCTCTATTGTGTTCCTAAGTCATCTCTTGCTGTCACTGCAAAAGTATCTCTTGCGTTACACTTGTGTTTTCAGTGTTTTTTTTTACTTTATTTTTGGTTTGTTTCGTTATATGTACTGTATATAAAACCCCTATTTATTGACCATGGCATATAAGGAGTGTGGAGGCAATGAATCCTAAGAGGAAGGTTGTATCAATGACTGAGATGAAAAAGGCACTTGTTACGAAGCACAGAAGTTGTACACACGATGAATTTTGTGGCTGTGTTTAAGATGCTGAAGTCGATGGTGTGCGACCAATAAATGCAATTTTTATTTCATTATACAATATTTGTATTTTATTAGTTTTTGTCTTTTAATTTATTCTGGAGATTTAATGTAAATTATGTCTATTTCTTCTGTAAGTATATCAAAATGGGTATCATTTAGGGTCTGGAAACAGATTAATTTGCTTTCCATTATTTGTAATGAGGAAAATTGATTTGGACTTCGAACAGTTTGGAGTTTGAAAGACCTCCATAGCATTCATAGATTTGGAGTATGAGACACTACAGTATTTGCTTTTATAATGAATAGAAGTGAAGAGAGTAAAACAATTTGAACATTGTTCTTGTCAAGTTGTGATCTTTTTTAAGTCCAAGGAAGAATTTTCTTGCGGAACATTTTGTACAAGTGTTCTGCAACATAGAAAGAATTTGAATTAACACAAATGCTTAAATGAATACATTTCAAAAATTTATCTAAATTACTTTTATGTTTGCTAACAAACTTTATCATACACTTTCTTTGTAGCTTGTTTACATATTGGATTGCTAAAAACATTTCAAAAATATATAAATGTTGTTATAAACCGTAACAAAATTTAAATTGTTACGTTGAATAGTATTAAAGGTATAAAAAACCGGAACACAAATGAGACTGCCTAAATATTAAATCAGCAGACTTTAATTTAGTCTTTATCATGTTGAAAATAGAATTGAATTTGCAACCATTAGAAAATTATTCAAATATTCTGCCAAGATATTCTAGTACGACGTTAATTTGAATGTCAATGGGGCCAGTTAGATTTATTCAGAGTCAGTTTTAGGTGATGTCTTATGCTAAGAATTTGAACTTGCATAACACACCTAAACTTCAGCAGTAAAGTCAAATATTTATACTGTAGAACTAAAGATTCTGACACGTGGTATTCTATTTTTAGAAATTAAAACATTCTTTACGTGCATTGTTCAATTTGAAAATGGGGCTTAAGATCACCAAAACCATTCATTTTATAGTGTAAATATCTGATGTTACTGCTGGAGTTAGGGTGTATTATGTAAATTAAGTTTTTCTCCTGTTACAATAGTAATAGAATTTAAAGTACTAAGAATTTGATATAAATAAAATTCTGAATTTTTTTCACTGTTGTAGTTGTAATATTTAAATGTAGCTAAGTTTTTTATTGATTTATATTGTTGTCTGATAGTCAAATGTTTCAGTTGATTACATTTAAATATGAAAAACAAAAGAATAATCGGTTTAGATACTTGAAATTTCACTTTTGTTTCTAATCTCTCAATTAGAGATAGTGGTTTGGTTTCTGATTGATAAATCGTATACCTAAACTATAGAATTTTAGGTTGTATATTTTATAAGTATAACAAACATCACAAAGCCTAATAAGTATATAGAAACACCACCAAACTATCGCCTAAATAAATTGGGCTATAATTCTGCTAATTTAAGTAATTAATACAAAGTAATTTGCTACTAGAGGTAGACGTTAGGTGCCATCTCTTAACTAAATTAATAATTATAATTTTAATAATTTATTAAATAATTTAGAACCATCTGGAAGAAAAGAACTGACTCGGGGCAGGGCTTGAACCAGCAGCCTCCGCTTACCATGCAGTGCACTTGCCAGTTGCACCACCCGGATCCTGAGCAGTCCTTCGCTTCCAGATGTATACAAATTTAAACACATCTGGAAAAAGGAAAAGATATTCAGTATGATAAAAAAAAAAAGACAGAGATAGGAAATAAATCACAATCAGAAAAATCGTTTTCCTTAATAATTGCAGTGAAAGTCAAATTGATTGATAGCAACTGTCATGAGTACACTGTAACAAGAAATTATTAACAAAGCAAAACATTGCAGAAAGGCACATAACAGGAGGCACTGATCATGCAATATCATGACTCAACATACCAGGATGGAACACGTTGTAAATCTTGATATAGATTTATGATATGTCCCATAAAATACTTGACCTTTTACTTTCCCAGCTGTTATATATAACAGTGGGAAAGTGCAGTTATTGGTAAAAATATGACCTCCAAGATTTTGAATTTTTAGATCTAGGATGCCTTAAAATGTGAAGAAATGCAAAAAAAAACCAGGGGTAATTTCTGTATGTATGTACGCATGGATGTGTGTGTGGGGGAGACACAATTTTGTTCACGCTGTTTGAAGCTTAATAACTCCTGTGCTTTTCGTCAAAAATTTCTGAAATTTTGCAGGGAGGTTTGTTTATTAGAGGGATCAATGCTGTTAAATTTTAGTGTTTAACGGTCAGGGTGGTGAGGAGATAATGGGGGTTGTATGTATCTTCAGTAGGGTCAGTCTTAATGACAATTTTATTCATTATTAGCATTTACAAGTTTTTTTACAAAACTCATCCCTGTCCTCAAAATGTAAGGTTTTTGTCATTTTATAACAGTTAAAAATATAAAAAGTCTTTAAATTAAAATATGATAACAGATGGCTCCANTCGATGAAGCGCATGTTATTCGCACCACCCAACACACGGAACAACTAAGAACTTTGGAGGCACTGGAAATATTTAAAGCCGATCGTAAATCCGCATGCATTAATTTCAAAGAAGAAATAAATCTCTCTGCAGCATGGCAATTTTTAATTGACGATAAATCATAATATAGTTTATAAGACAAGTTTTATGACGTAATGCACACAATGATTCCCCATTGGTAGAAAATTACATTTGAAATAACAAGTGGATTCCTTCCGTTTTCGGAATTTTTTCGAAAAATAGCACGTTACGTTTTTTCAAAAACATTCGAATTAAAGAATCCGGTTATAACGAAAGATATAAAGAAGTAAGCCTGAAGAAGATCCCAGGAGGGGAATCGAAAACGTTCGCTGATTTTAAAGAATTTCGCACCGGTTAATGGTTAAGGGTAGGCAGTTGTTGGTTGTGAAGTTATACAACCCGGTGTGGTAAGAAAGCATATTAATCATTTTATTATAACTGAGATTAACATGCTTGTCTGGAGTAGTAGTAATTTGATTGATAATTATTAAGTTTGACCTATATTCATAAAATCAGTACCTGTCAAATATAAATTTTGATATTATTATTATGATACAATATCAAAAGTGTAAGATGAAATTCTACATATTTATAGTATGCTTGTATAGATATAATTTCTACAAATTATCTATATTTTCAAGTTCATTTTTGGAAAGTGTAAAAAAGATTAGGCTGTTACCCCTTAAATATTTAATTTTGTCTTGGATCTGATATCCCCAATACAGCACAATTTTAACTTTTTGAATTCAAGCAAATAATTTTGTGAGAAAGCCCATTACATAAACAATGTGCAAAATATTAAGCTTGCAACTATATTATGATAAAAGATGTTTAAAAAAAATGTCAAAGGAATTTTGAGTAAAAAAGAGAAAATAGACACATTAAAGTCTAATATAATGTTTTTAAAATCGAAATAAATCGGCATACGTTTTGTTATCCTCGGAGGTGTCTTTACTTCTCCTGAAATGACCGACCGCTTCATTCTAGAGAATAGAAATAAAAAAGAAAACTAAATGCAAAATTCTTTTATTTTAATCATGCATTTTAAATAAAGCATGCAGTGCATAAGAAATAAAAAGAAAAAAAATATTCCATACAAAGTTCTATTCTATTGTAATTCAGTAAGGTGATAAATCAGTGAAGTGATCTCAAAATAATTGTGGTGAATATGTTGAGCAATAATTTAAAGCTGAAGTTTCAATTATTCAAAGCAAAATGTTTTCTTTGGAAACAGAATTAAAGAAATATATGTAATTATTTATTTATCATTGTTTTTGCATATGAATGACTGTTATTGGAATTTAAGTTGTTGTTAAATCTATTATGATTAATTTGTATATCGTGTTTACTTTTTAGCTTTTACTACAATGGATACGACAAGGAAATTCTCTGTATCTTGTCTAAAATTATTCAAAATTAATTTTGTATATTTTTGTGTAGACTGAAACATCAATGTTATAAAAGGTACACAATTTAAGAAATATATAACATATTTGTAGAGTTTATATACAGTATGATCAAATTCCAACTGGAGTGTTTGTTATTGAAAGAACAAAACAACTGTTTTTCAGCTTTCTTTAAATAATTTCTGTGAAACACAGATTTAAACTGAAAATGGTTGATTTAAAAAAAGCCAAAAATGTTATTTTTTAATTAAATATTTACCTAAGAAATAAACATTTTCTGTTGTTTTTATAAATAGCTTTAAATACATGAGACTTTTTTATTCGAGTAACTTTTACTGAAGAATTTAACATTAATAGTATTTGTAGAAGTTTTAAATCTTAATTATCCAAATTATATCAAAAAGTCAGAAATATTAAATGAAATTGAATGTTGTCAAATTGAAAAAAATTTATTAAATTATGATATTATAATCCGATCAAGAAGACTTACCTCTTCTTCTTTAGACTGCAAGAATACGTTTAATCTACGTATTTCTGCATCGCATTTATCTATGAGCGACTGCAGACAATCATTAACTTTATTTAGTTGCATTTGAATTTCGACGGTTTCGACTTCCTTTCCCAGAGATGATGCAATGGATGAAGGTATTGTTAAGTTACTGGCTGTCTGTTCAAAAGCCTTTATTTTTGGTTTACATCTTTCCAATTCTTGCTTAAGTTCCTATTAACAGAAATGTAGTATTATTAGAGACTTATGAATGATTAATCTTTTTATAATATTATACAAATTACAGGGTGAATCAAATGTATAAAAATATTAACATATGCTACAAATTTCTAAGTCATTTTGCTTTTCTCATGCTACTACAATTTTTTGAAATCAGAATTTGAGGACTTTTGGCTCACCCTGTATAATAATAATAAAAAAAAAATACAGTAGTTTTTTAATGAAACAGAAGCATTCTAGTAAAATCCTGACTATAACAAATTAACATCACTATTTAATAAATATAATTTAAGCTGATCCAATCAATTATTGCCTGAAAGTTTAGTTTCCAAAATTTAAGACTTACTAAATATTTATTGTATTGAATGGATATTATATTATGATCAGCCATATTTCGTAAGGTTCCCATCTGATGGATTCGTTCTTCACTCATTTCAAGCCACAAAACTAATTCTTGTAAAGTATTTTGAAAGTCTGGACACTGTAAGAGGGCTTTCTGAAGTTCGTTTTGCCAAATCATAGCTGACTGACAAAGATTCTCCCAACGTTTATTTAAAACCTAAGTGTTAAAAAAATTGATAGGATGCAAATATGAACTTGTAATATTTCAATAAATCATATAATAATAATAATAATAATAAATTGTAACCTTTAGCCTTGTTTGTAATTCTTCGGATTTAATTTCGTTCGTTGATGTAGTTAGGAATTTCTGAGTAAGCATATTTAAAGATAATATTGTAGGTTTGTACTTTATCATTTCCATGAGAAATTCCTGCAATGATTATTTTATTTTATATTATAATAGCCAAAGAAATCTTAAAAAGTTAATAATTTGTTGATGAATGTAAAATAGGTAATTAAAAAACTTCTTACTCTATGATTTTGTATCATTAATTCCAGTTTTGACATGTCTTTCTGAATGAGAATCCATTCTGCTTGTCTTTTTTCTGCGTTATCTAACCAATCTTCCACAGCAGTTAAATCGTCCATATATTGCTGCCACTGATGACGTGCCTGCTGTAGACGTCTGTCTTTCTCGATCGTTTTTGCTTCTAATATTTCCCACCGTGATATTATGCCCTGAGCATGGTTATAATGTGAGGTGGTTGCTTGTGACAAACCTTCTTCTTCGCATTGTAATAGACTGTTGAAATGTTTCAGAATGTCGATACTGCATCGGCAAGTGGCTAGAAGTCTAGACTAAAATTTTAATGTTTAAATGTGATTTTTCAAAGATTAACATCAAAAAACATATTTTTGTAAATTAATTTTTACTTTATTTTTCTTATCTTAACTTACATAATTATGAGAGACAATTTCTGTTTCAAATCCGATCGGTGTTTGACTACGAATGGCTTCTTCCGTAATTCCTAATTTTTCTTCCGTTTCTTTCAAAGCAATTTTCAGTTCGTCTAATACACTAATTTCTTCTTTTTCAATTTCTTGGTGTAGTTCAAGGTTTACAACTGCTAAGTATAAAGAAATTTGTTAAACTTTTTAGAAAAATGAATAAAAATCATTTGCTCCTGGATCTGTCTGTGTTTCTAGTATAAATCTTAGGGTGACATTGTTTTTATTTGTGCAATGAAATGAACAATTGTTCTAATAATGATATTAAAATTATTATTTTATTGTTAATAAAAATATGGGGTAATTAGACCACTATCATCTTCTCTAGATCTGTTCCTACCTACAAACTATTGGTTCTAGATCAAATTCAAATGAAACATACTAGAACTCTGTTCAGAAGTTTTCCCCATGCTTACATGGGAAAACTTCTTAAGAGTTCAATAAAGTTTAATTTCAAAAGGGTAAATTTTTCTCATATAAAATGTTCTTGCTTAAGAAATTTTTTAAATTAAATATGGTAAAACTAAGTTTTTCAAGGAATCAAACACAGAATTATTTCATAAAATATAAATATTTTCACTAAATATCTTCAAAATTTAAATTGTAAACATTTTCCTCCTTTGTATAATGTAATTGCTCTTATGTGTTGTGGCATTACCAACGGTGAATTTTTGAAGTATAAATGAGTTCACAAACACTTTCGATAGCATAAAGCTAGCATCATCAGGTGAAAATTGAATAAAACGGTTTTCAAATACTGAGCTTTCAAACAACATATGAAGTACGTGGATGGAATACCAACATGAATTTGAAATATAATAAGACATTGTTTGACAGGGTGACAAAGAAGCTATAGAATCGGAGGATGTGCTATTTTTAGAAAAAAAAAAATTTTTTTTTAACAGCAATATGAGTGACGTAATATACCCAAATATGTGTAGAGAGAGATAATGATGTTTAGAGATGTAGATCAGATTGCTTGAATACAGTTGTCCATATTTGTGGGATTTCAAGAGTTGTTGTGTTGCATGGTGTTAAAGCTGATATGTAGAGGTTCTCCCAAATAAATAATACTTTCAGTATTAGTGCTTAGAAGACGTTTATTTAGTGTTATAATAGTTTCCGATTGTTGCATCATTTGAGTAACCTTGTTTGGGCCCAGAGCAGCTGATAATGTTGATCAAGCACTTTTTTTTCCAATTCCATTGATGGTCTAACTGTGGTCTACTGTTTTTGATATCCTTCTGATGTTCTAGGATGCAAGAAATTAACATTCTGGCCGTGGCCCCTATGTAGCTGGTCTCTTCTCCTAACAGATCATGTTTAGTGGAATTTGATAGACCCCAGATTTTTCATTCAATATCTCTGTTGTTGCATAATAGTCTTCTTAGCATTGGTTGTGTGGTTAATGGTAAAATAAAACCATTCATTCTAAAAAGATGTACTATTTTTAGAGAGACTGGGCCTAAAAACGGTAGTGGAGGATGTGCTATTTTTATATTCTCTTTGTTACTAAAAAAGACTGAGAAAATTGCTTATTTTTTAACATGATTTTGGAGATAATGGAATTTAAACCTGGCGTATCTAGCTTTTTGCATAGCTCTGCTAATGATTTGCAATTCTTCTTCCACTAGTGCTTGGTTGGAAGGGAGAAGGTAAGCCCTCCACATGAGGGAAGTTATGGCAGAGTTCACATAGTTTAAAAGTTTAAAAAAAAAAAAATAATAATAGAAAAATAAATTTTTTGAATTCTTATTTCAAATTCATATTGGTATTCTATCCACGCTTCGTATATTTTCATAAATTATTCAAAAGCTCAGAATTTGAAAACCGTTGTATTCAATATTCACCTGACAATGCTAGCTTTATGCTATCGAAAGTGCTTGTGAACTTATTTATACTTCAAATTCACCATTGGTAATGCCACAACATGTAAGTGCAATTATGTTATACAGTAAAGTGTAGGCATGAAGTGTACATCACTTTTATTTTTCCTCTTCCAGTAACATTTAGAATTGATGCTTGAGAATCTTACAGTTTATGCAATTGAAACACAGTAGTGAATGATTAAATTAACTCAAGATGGATACAAAACATTTAGTTTCTCAAGCTAATGTTCTGACTAAGATATTAATAGAACATAAACTTTTATAATTTTACTATTTATATAAGGAAAAAAAGACAAATGAAAATATATACTAACTAGGATTCTCTAAACTTTTAACATCAGATGATTCATAAGTTTCAGCTGACTCAGTAATAATTGTTGGTATAGGAAGATCTAGAATTTGATTTTCATTTACAGATACATCAGTTTTTATCTATAAAAATTTTAAAAGTATATTTTTTATTATTTTTATATATATATAAATTATTGTACTTAAAATGTGATGATATAAAACATATATCGATACCTCATTGCTATCTATCATTTCTTTTGATAAATCTCTGTCCTTATCATTGGTATCATCCTGAAAAATTAAAAATATGGATTAGAGTCTAATTATTATTATTGAACATTTTATCAATGATCTAATTTTGAATTATGAGATGAAATCTATATATATAAAACTCAAAGGTGACTGACATAGTGATCTATCAACGCACAGCCCAAACCACTGGACGGATCGGGCTGAAATTTGGCATGCAGGTAGATGTTATGACGTAGGCATCCGCTAAGAAAGGATTTTGATCAATTCTACCCCCAAGGGGATAAAATAGGGGATGAAAGTTTGTATGAAACTTTGTCAATTTTAAACCGATCGGGCTGAGACTTTGCATGCATAAAGCTACTATGACGTAGGCATCCCCTAAGAAAGGATTTTGATAAATTCCACCCCTAAGGGGATAAAATAGGGGATGAAAGTTTGTATAAATCTTCTTAGATTTTCGACTGATTGAACTGAAATTAAAGATTGGAGCTACTATGATGAAGACGTCCGCTTAAATAGGATTTTGATAAATTCAACCCCCATGGGGGATGTAAATGTATTAGTTTGAACCTATCAGTACCTAATGGAACGAATAAATTAAGACGAACAAAATAATTTTTAGTTCTAAATGTTGACAATAGATGGCGTTAGTAGTATTTTAAAACGCGCTATCGTTGTGTTTTCACTGAGTTACATATACCCGATGATGAGTGGCTGCCGTATCTAATAGTACATACTATACCTAAATATTTGACGGGGGTCAATTAGGTATAGTTTTTGCGGGGATTATATTGTACCCTTTGTACATAGTTGTACAAAGAAGTTTTGTAGGCCCTAATTTTTTACACACGCTAAACGAAAGTAAAGCCGCAAAAACTATACCTAATTAATAATAATACTTCTTAACGCGAGCGAAGCCGCGGGCAAAAGCTAGTAATATATAAATGTTTAAAAAAAATTAACATAAAAGAAGAAATTACTATTTCATTTGCTTTCTGCTGTAAAATGGACAGTCGTGAAAACAATTGATCCCAATACTGTTGAACGTTTTGTACTAATTCTTCTGCCCTCGTACTATCCAAAGGTTCGCTTCTTTGTTCTAAATATACCGATAACTGATATAGAGAATTCTTTTCCTCTTTATAATCTTCAACTTCTTTCAGATGATTCTGAAATTAATAAAAGAAATCACGAATAGTGTAAATTCCTTTGACTATAAAGCATTGATGTAATAAATTTAAAATCTGAATTCTTTAATAAAACTTTAACTTCATTTGCAATTTAACAAATTAATTTAAAATACGTTATTAATAATGAATGAACAGCTCAATAAAATTTTACTTATAATCATATAATTTTCATAACACTGTTTTGTATTATATTATATTATATTATATTTTAATAATTAAACTTCATTTACTAATTTAGTATATTGATCACATTACAACTGACATATAAAAGTAGAAAAAGAATGGTTTCAAGCTTATTTTATTATTTATTTTTTAAAAAAGTTCAAAACTTTTATAATGAAATATTGTATATGGTGAAAATAAGTATTTAACTTGAATATATATATTCAAGGCAATAATAAGTCTCTCCCCAGCCAATTATTTCAAAGAATAATCACTATAGATGTTTTGCCGATGCATACTATGATGGATGTGTGCTAAATGATGGTCAGATTTCCGCTCCTCCAGTCCTACTATTGGAGAGGGCTGTTGTAATCTCTGCCCCTAATGAAAATAGATTAATGCTGTCAATTAAAAAGTTGTAGCACAAGGAAAGGTATGTACTATTACCTTTTAGTGAATTCTGAAATATCAAATGGAATTCTAGAAGGATTTGTCAAATATGACAGGTACAGTACATCTCTCATTCATACATGAATACAATGTGGGAGTGGTCGAATGTGCAGTTAGCAGTAATATGATGATTAGGTTAATGCTGTTTTATTTTCAATGTCTGATAGGAAGTGATCAGGTCCACTTTTTCAGAGTGGTGGAGCATATATAGGGCCAAATTTGGTAATCTTCAATATCTAGTTAGGAGGAGAGAGATTATCCCAACAGATAATTCCACTGTCAAACTTTCTGCCATTTTCTTTAAGTTGTAAATGCGAGGAGTTATTGGATTTTCTTACAGTGGGTCCTTTTTAATCTAGCTGAGACCAAAGTACTAAGATTCTCTATATTGGCATTGATTGTGTAGAGCAAATTAGAGTCTAAACTGTGTAATTTGTTCTCCAAATGAATGAAAGAGTTCAAAAGAGTACTTGCAACATATTATTACACAGATGGCTTATGTAAGACAATGTTCTTATTCTGTAACAATGGAACAGTAGTTCTTTCCATTTCAAAAATATGTTCTATCTTTCTGTTTACATTCTATTGTAACAATCTGACAATGTTCATTTAGTTTATTAAAGTTTGTTCCAGTTGGATATTTTGGTTTCAGTATGTTTAATGGTTTCACATCCGGTTCCACGAGTGGTATCATATTTATGCATGGCTTTGCCAGCCAAATAGTATAGACAGATAATCATTTGACTCCAGTTGTTCTTCTCCAGAGTTGAACTTTTTACAACAGTGCAAATTCAGGGGCAGTTTTATTTAACAGCATTTTATATTATCTATTAAATCAGATTATCTGCATATCTACATCACTGCTAACTTAAACCTAACCTCATATTCAACCACTCCCACATTGCATTTGTGTGTGCAGTTTTACAGCTGAAAAAATAAACATTTTAATTGAATCTTGTTTGAATGTTGAGTTACAAAAGCGCTTTGTTATCCACTTTAAAGGTTGGAAAATATATTTGGAATTGTTATGTTTATAACATCATTTATGATCTAAATGACAAATAAAAATCATAGTGATTTTTCTGCTTTGTAGTTATCAAGTAAGTGTAACTTTCTGAACATTTTGCTTGTTTTCAATAACTGACTTATTAAAAATTACATTTTAGTCACCACAAAGCTGTTAACATGATTACAACAGCAGCATTTGTGTTATGAAAGTGATTTGCCAACCACTTTAGTGTGAGAATATATTTGGTTTTTCTCACATTTATGATTTGAAGTTTCTTTTTCATTATTACTATACTATGGTTCTTGTGGAATGATGAATAACTTTGGAAAGTTTATAGTTTTTGGTATCATTGTAAGGAACCAAGTCCGAACGTTATTTTTATTTACTTTTATTTTGCTTATTATTCTATTTTTGTTTGGGGCTTATGTTTTGTTAGGACGAAGTTTCCTCACCATTCACCTTAGTAACTTAAAAATAGAAGAAAAACCAACTCACCGACGAAAGAAAAGCGCCGTAGAAAAACTCGCGCACACTTGCGCTTCCCAAGCGGAAAAAAGTAAGTCCGCACCGAGAAAAAGGGGGGGGA